GATAGGAAAAATTTAGAACATGCATTTTCATTGGTTGAAGAGATAACAAAAAAATGCGCCGAAAAATTTCCCAAGTACAGTCGTGGCTATTCATAGTAACGTAAAATTAAGAAACTAAGGAACGAAATGAAGAAAAAATTGTCTGCAGAAATAAACTTAATCTTTGGAAGACGCGTGGAAATCTAGCTTCATTAAATATATTACATGTAATGTTCATATAGAAAAACGCTTCTAGACATAAGCCGGTCGCTTTACGGCCTACTATAAACATCCGACCGCCCGGATGATCACTGTCTATGTTCAAAAAATACAATTCTTTGTGTCAAGTTTAACAATAAATAGAAGCATTTTTCCTAGGTCGTAAATTGGCATACGGTTTCTTTATGCAATATTAAAAATAAAAAATAGTCTAATTTTAGTATTGTTCTAACAAATATATAATTTTTTAATTTTGTTAAGTAACGTTCGAATTGCCCCTAGACCGATCATTGGTCGTTATAAGGAAAAATCATGATTTTAATGATGCCTATTTCCGACCACAATATTTTATTAATTTTCAACTAAAAAAATTATCAGTTTCGAATAGTAAATTCTTCCTCAATGACTTAATGTCTGTAACAGTAAATGAACCCAAAATATTCATAACATCAAGTATTGATAAATTATATATGAAATTATCGCATTTTCTTTTAGAGGTCCATTTTAAGAATTTCGACGTTTGAATCTGTAGAAACTGGCTTTTGTCAACTTGAGTATTTTTTTTTTAAATATAAAAAAAATAATTATCAGGATTTTTAGGGCAGGAAATGATAATTATATAATTAATATACGTATTTTATATAGAAAAATATATCTATAGACCTTTTTTAATTAGATATTCACGAATAAATTTAATGGTCGGCTTTAGGCACTAGGTCGGCAATAGGACACTTTACCTTAAATATGAAAATAGAAAACTTGAGAAAGTTCATTGAAAAAACTGGATTCATTTGATTTAATTTCTTTTCAGACAAATTTCAATAAGCTACGATCATTATGACCTCTACAACTCTTACACTAGGGTTCATTAGAGATATAGATGCTCTAGAAGGCGGGAGAATTATAATAATTTGAAAGAGAAAGATTCTATTGAAGAAATATTCAAATCTAGGAGAATTTGTAGAGGCTCTATAAGACAAAGAAGAAGTCTAGAAGATATTTTAAACATTTTAGGAAATAAATACTTATGTCTAGAGGAATTCTGAAGATTCTAGCAATCATATATTTAAAAAAACTCCAGATCTGGAGACTTTGCAAATGACATATTTAAATCTATTCCAGATTGTATATAATTTCTCGAGACCTTTTATTTACAATATAATTAAGTATATGATTATTTTTCAAAGTCATAAACAAATAACTAATTATCAGAAATAATAATTAAACAATATGTTATGATTCGAATAATTAAAATTATTTAATAATATAAAATAATAAATAAAATTCAATAGTATAGCAAATTGTATTGTCTTATAGATAATACCAATCTAACTACTATAATTATTTAGATTAGATACTTAAACATTGTCTATCATTGAAATCGACTAAACAAATATGTAATTACATTAGGCATCCACCAGCTAATGAATTATCTACAATGTGTTGGTCAGTCATCATATGTAATTCTAAGCGATCAGAACGTGTTTACATACTATCAATATAATTCTGTTAATTATTTATTTATTTATTTATTTATTTATAATAATAATAGTACTTATTTTATGCTGACAATATACATTATTTAACCATGAAAAAAATAATATGTATGAATCATTATAATTACATGAATTAATTACTTAGAATTGAACTAAAAATGAGCAATACAGTTTATCTATTTATTTCTTGCTTTCTCTAATTAAATGAAACTACAATATTATTTTTTTTACGGAACAAAACAGAAAAAAAAACTCGATTGAAAATTGTAATTTTTAAATGCAAATTAATTCACTTGAGTGACAATATTTTGAGAAAGCACTGAGAAAAAGATAAGAAATTTTGTATTTTCTAGGAAAATGATAAAAAATTTCTTTTGTTGATATGATTGACTAATTTATATAAACTTAAGAGTTTAAATTTAATCAGAGCATGAATTTACACTCAAATCTCAATAAAATTTAAACTAACAAGATTTCTACCAAGATATTATGATTGTACAATCTTATGTTAAACAGAGAGACTAATATAAACTAGAATAAAAAAAAAGGTAGAGAAAGGAAAGTACGAAAAATAGACAGAGTAAGAGAGATAGGTCGTCACATTCCCACGAGGTAAATCGTAATTCTCATATCATGTCTCGATGTACTCCGAATCATGGGATACTATTGTTCTTATCGGAATGTTTCATTATAAATAAGTATTTTTATTTTAACAAACGACCTTGATAAAGTAAAAATAAACATAGATATTCCTAAATATTCTTCTTTTTTTTAATTACTAAATTTTTATTTTTGGAACAAAAAAAATCTAATTAACCATCTCCTGGACAAATAAACCTCAGACATTAATTTTTTGTTTATTCCTAGAATCTTTTAAAAAACATTTTCCCCCGTTTTTTCTGTTGCTTTTTGATAAAAAAATATTATGCTTGAACTTTGATATATCTTTTTGATTTAATTTTATTTAATTTCATTTTAACTTGAAGGTTATACTTTTAGCGAAATAATTTCTATATTACAGTAAAGGAGATATAAACGCGTAAAAAAAAATTGAGAAATAATAATAACTGAGGAAACAATGAAAAGAGAATAGAAAAAAAAAATGATGAAATTTTTTTTATAGGCCAGTGAGTAATAAAAGTTACTAAATAGTGATAGGAAGTTGAGAGGAAATGCAATATATAAAATAAAAAAAAAGAAGACAATACAATCAATCTCATCATTGCATGTCGAGAAATATGAAACAGAGTGCAAACAATGTCCCTTCTTCCTACTTATAATGCTCTTTCTCTCTCTCCCCATACTTATCGTTAGTTGTAGTACATATTAAGTCAATAATAAATACGTAACTACAAAACGGAAGTTGATACTGATTAATTTGTTAATATCAATAACTAAAGTTTGTAATGTATTACTATTATTTATTCTTAATAAAAGAATTTGTATAAAATTAAAAGAAAATTAAAAATAAACAAACGAAAAGAATATTGAAAAACAATTAAACTTCGATGAATTCGAATAAATTTTTTTTTATTTTTTATAAAAAAATTCAATAATTAGAAAATATAATGGAGCTAACTAAATTACCAATTTCAAATACAGTTTCTAATTGATATTTTAATTATAAAAATACTACAAAAAATTGTAAGACACAAAACGAACTTTGCTGACTCTCAACGTATTTTTCTATTATCTTTTATAGTAAATAAATTTAATTAAATAATTACATTATATAACTAACTAAATTCCCAGTTTGAAATTCTACTTGACGATTTTATAGCTTACAAAAGATCCAATCGAATCTATGAGACATTTCTATATTTTTATAACGAAAACAATTTTAAAAAAACTTTCAAACGTAATTGTAATAAAAAAAATCGTAGGATTTAAAACAAAAAAAAAGTTGTCAACTAAATTTTCGATGCCACACACACACCAATTAATGCATTTTATGATAAAAAAATCAATATAAAAAAATTATCAATTATTCCGGTATTTCACTTTTAAACTTCAACATCACCTCATTTTCATCAAGACTACCATGAATAAACATTGCCAATGATAAAAAAAATTTTGTATGCTCACGATAATACCGAAAAGATGAAATCAATTGTTATAAGCACGTGATTTCAATGATGATATCGTCACCACACGTGCAAGGGTTACAAAAAAATAGTATCTTCCAAGGCACGCTTCTTACTTTCACTGCTACGTCGCCTCGCGACAACTCGACACTTTATCTATTTATTATCCTTTAGAAATTCACTAGAAAGTCCTTTAAATAATTCACAACCTTATACTTAACACATAACCCGACATATTCTAGAATACATAGTAAAACATAAAAAAATTTGTTTTGCCAACTCTTTTACATGAATGTATTTATTTTAGCTCATGTATCTTTTCGATTTATCAATTATTCACGCGACTATCGTCTTTCCAATAAGAGGGACAAGGGCAATAGTGAAGGAATGAAGATAAAAAAATTTAATAAATTAACTGTCAATAAGTATTCACCAAGGAAAAAAGGTATTCTAAGAAATAACTTTAATAAAAGATCTTTTTTTTTTGCATAAGAATCGATGAAGTGATCCATTTAACAATAAAATTATGAGCAGGTTTTTAAAAAGTTGCTGGTTTCTGATAAATTTCTTACACTACATGAGAAAAAACGTGACATAATTTTATTTAAAGATATTTCAAATATCAGTTTAATGTATCTTTACAGAAGATCCTGACCAATAAGTTTTAGTGCGATTTACGGTTGAGTAACTTTTAGGCTGACTTGCTTTTAACTATGATGGATTAAATAAAATAAACCCTTCTATAACTTATTTTGAGACACGAAAAATATTTAAATAACTTTTTAAAAGTTAAAAACTATTTTGTCTTAATAATTATCTTGTTTATGATATTTATAATTATTTATTTGTATAACAAATTAATTTAAAATTCCTGCTCCAATTTTATCTTTGTATCTTTTTAAAACATTTTTTTTTCATGTAAATCACAAGAAGATTATTATAATAGATTAATTACAAAAATACAGATATTTTTAAAAACCAAATCACACTAAATTTTATTAGAAAATTTATTCAATTAATCATGACGGAAAATATTCGAATATCATTTGAAAGTGATTAATAAACAAACTGAAGCTTTTCTTTATTGCCGACTTCGTTTAAAGTGGCGGGATGTTAATAAAAATGTAAATAACATTGTAGGTTAGAATATAGATAAAATAGTTTGTCCTTTCCATGCATGCATATAATTGATAAGAATTAATAAATTAAAATAAAAACTCACCTCATGTGGCTTCGGATGTTGATGGTTACATTGCCGATGTTCTAACATGCCATTAACAATAACAACACTATAGATAATAATAATTAAATATGAAAACACAGCACAAAATCCTACAGTACCGCATTGCATTTTCAACCTTCCACGGCACAACATATCACAGGCTCACCTACACTCTACGATATCATGACACTCTCTGGAATACTTGAATGCTTTTCATCGTTTTATCAACTACTTGACAATGTAATAGTTCTATTACTTCCCACTAAATCATTTGTGGCACCACAGAATAACGCACATGTCGACAATGTCAACATGATTCCGTTCTTTAATCTTACGATTTTTTTCGTATTTTATTTTTATTATAGACTGACAAAATATTTCAAAGCACTTGAAAGTTTATTATTTATATTAAAAACATTTAATTAGATTTTAATTTCGTTCATTAATACTGTGTAAATGTAAAAAAATCGTAATTACTTAGAACAAAATGACTTTGACGCGAATATTGACGCCATCTTGTGAACCGTCAACCACTATCCCCACTTCGTACCAATTTTGTTATTAGTCACAGAAAATTTCGAAAGATAGCATTACTTTAACTTTCCAGCGAGAATTATTTTTAAATCATTTACTGTAAAATATTGTTAAAAAAAACTTAACATTAAAACGATATTTTATCAGTAGTACTGTTAAGTAATAATTATTTTATAATAAGTAATAAATATATTTATATTTCAATGAAAAAATGAAATAAACAATAAATTGAATGATGACAACATATTTATAAAATTTTAAAAAATAACTTAACAATTACTCTTAAAGAATGTTTTATCTTTAATTTTATTAATAAAAAATTTGGTACTAAAAAAATAAGTTTAAAGATTGTTATTGAAGTAATTGATCATATTATACTGCAGACATTTCAATCACAACTTCAATTAAAAGTGGTCAAGTTTAACTTTTCCACTCTTTTAATAGTAATGTACTACACTACGTTAAATAACATAATATAACGTATTTTTTCAAAACTTACAATTTCTTCAACCAATATTTTGAAACCTCTCTTTCAATCATAATTCAAGTTTTTAATAACCTAGCTTACAATAAAATTGAAACCTTGAAAATATTTTTCAATTTTATTCTAATGAAATTTATTATAAAAATATTGTTTCGATTATTTTATAATAAATGTTGATTTATTATTAGAACTTACAATGTTGTGAATACCATTGTTTACTCAATTCACAATTTTTATTAACACAGTGAGGACAGCGCGTCATAAATTTAGGAGTAATTGGTTCATTAGATCGTAGATGATTAGAAACAATATCTGTTAAAGCATCGATAAAAATAGGATGATCATTTGGTGCAGCTGCTCGACGTATTTTTTCAATTCCCAACTAAAAAAAATGTAATATCAACACTCTATATCTATTTTGACGTACCTATGCTAAAACAAAACATAATCTACATATTTTAGGAGAAATACATAAATTATGCAAAAAAAAATTTTTTTAGATTGCGTATAATAAAATTTACACCTTTGTATCCACACAGATGAATAAAATTTACAAGTAGGTCGTCTCGCTCCAATTTCTTGTATTCATACTTAGTACTCATCAAAAAAAAAAATCTATTTGCTGCTAATTAAATAAGAATAATTACCTCTTTAGCTAAATCTTCACAATATTCAATATCCATTTCATGTAGCGTTTCAATATGTTCATTAACAAAAGCTATTGGTACTAGAATAAAGTACTTTTTCCCTTGTTTAACATATCCTTTTAAGGCATCATCGGTGAATGGACCAAGCCATGGTAAAGGACCGACCTAAAATATTTTCAAAAATTTGATTAGAATGTTTCTATTGAGTTCATTAACTAAATTGCTAAAACTATTTATACCAAATAATATATTTCAATAAACTATAAACAATGCATTTGAGTATACAATTCAATAAATATTTTTCATAGTGTTTTTTTCTAACTTTTTTTTCAAATGTCTAAACTCAATTGAATTACAAATAAATGAATAAAAATTAAAAAGAATAAAATGAATTGATTATTTGAAAATATTCATTACATTCTTTTCCAATCCACTAATAATTAATAGTAACAAGTGAATGATTTACTTTTGATTGCCAAACAAGATGATAAGGATTACAATACTTTAATTCTTGCATAACTAGATGAACCGTTGCAGCTACTTCACTTGGATAAGGATCTCCACGGTTCAAAGCTTTCAATGGTATCGAATGTGCTGAGAATAAAATAGTAACTTGACTTCTTATCTGTTCCGGAAAATGCTTCAACTCTTCTTTAATCCGTTCTGCAAATGTTTTTGCCAAGAGTGGGTGTGTTGGCCATCGATCGATAATACTTAGCTTCATATTTTCCGGTAATCCTCTGTAAATAAATTTTTTTTTCAAATAAGAAAAAAAGAAAAGTATATTTATCTTTTAAATTGTATGAATAATTTGTTTCAAATGAATATAAAACTAATAAACTCCATAATTTTAGAATAAACAATAATTATTTATTTTATTTTTAATGACTTACTTTGTTTTGTAATAATTATAAATCGCATTAAAACTTGATCCTGATGTAGCACAGCTGTATTGTGGATATTGAGAAAATATCACAGTATGTTTCACACCATCTCTAGATGATTAAAAAATAATAAATAAAACCTGTCGAGTATTAAACACTAATTGCTTCTTACTCAGCTATTTTCTGAAGTGCTACATCTGTTAAAGGATCAGCATATCTAAATGCTACGTAATATTTATGAGGCGCAGTCTGTGGAGAAATCTTGTCCAATTGTTTACACATCAATTCTCCTTGTAGATTAGTCCATTTTAGGATTGGAGAACCACCTCCTATCTCTTCATACTTTTTCTTTACATCTGGAGTTCTTCTTTGAGCAATCCATGGTCCAAGTTTGCTATCAAGAATATTTATTTTTCATTAATAATATTTATTATTCAATAACATAAAAATTGGAGTAATACCTTTGAATTGGAAGTTGAATCATATCTCTATCTGTCATAATTCTCAATAAATATTCACCAACTTGATCTGTATTTGTTGGTCCACCCATATTCATCATCAATATACCAGTTTTGGGTTTTTTATTATTCTTAACCTCCTCCTCTAGCTTTTGTTTCACTGCTGTTGATGCATTTCTAATGATATTCTTCAACGTCAAGGGCTTTATATTTTGCTTATCTTTTTAAATTATTAAATTTATTATTAAATCGTTAAACAAGAAATACCAAAATAAAATATAATTGTGATTGATGTCAAGATAAATATGTATTTAACTTACTTAATATTGAAACAGTAAGTTGTTGAAATTTTTGAACATTCATTTTGCTACTTTAAATTGTTTAATAACTTGTGTAATGGTAAATTTATTATTTTTTATGTTTTAATAATACTTAATAATTAATGAATAATTGGAATATCAATTAATTACTCAAAATTACTCAGCAGAATGACAAAACAATATTTTTTTAATAGATTTACCGCAAAATAATACGGCGAACTGTTTCCGGAAAAGTCAGCTGATTAACAGTGCCGGCTACAGTAACGCCCTCTTCGTCAAACATGAAGATTAACCTTAGTTCTATCTTTTTTTAAAAGACAATTACATAAACTTAGTTTATGTTGTTAGTTAAATCCCAACTGTGAGTGATTTAAATTTTTAGTTACTTCGGCTTAAATCACATTACGTGTAAATAATAAATAAACCGGGGTTTTTCATAACCTTAGTTAAGAAGTAACACCCAAACACATGCGTTAATACCTGGGAAATATAAAAAATGAGCGAAGAACTAAGTGGAGAATTAAATTCTTCGGAATTAGGAACTTATGATTAGTAAGTAAACATAAAATTTTGATTAAATTGTTAGGTTATACATTATTTGGTGTAAATTTTATTTATTTTTTTATCCAAACAAATTTTTTATCTCCCTAAATGTTCAAGTATTCATTTATTTATTTACCAACAATCCCTAGTAGCCATCATTTCTGATGAAAATCTTACGCTTGTCTGCTTCAGATAAACGGCAGATTCATACGTAAATAACGAATTTGGGTTAATATACGTAAGTCTGTCGTTAATCTGACGTTGATTTGGTTACTAGAGACAGTAAAAAAATAATACTTGTCTGAAAATGTTTTGTCGAAGAAACAATAAAGTTCATTTGATGCTTCTTTATTATTAAAATCTAATCGATGTTGCTATATTTAGTTGGTTGGTTGTGCATATAATATTATACGATTAAGTTAAATTTTCAGTAAATCTTATAATTCAAAAATACTCAAAAATCCCAATTATTTATTCTAACCAAAAGTGACCATTATGTTTTATAGAAAGATTCGAAAAAATGTCTGACATAGACTAATTAACTATTTTTGACAGCTGGGAAAATATTTACAATGACGAAATAAACAATTTTCAAGAATACGGAGACATTGGCGAAGTTTGGTTTGGAAAAAAGAATGCAGAAAATTTAATCAAGTAATTAATTAACTTCCAATTCTTATTAATTCAAGTAAATATTCATAACAATGATCATAAATTAATTAATGAACATAAATTATTAGATGCATAGAAGAATTAAACATTGAAAAAACTGACAAGATAATTGACTTAGGATGTGGCAATGGCTGGACACTAGTCCAATTACTGAAGAGAGGATTCAAGAATCTCTATGGAGTTGATTATTCTCCAAAAGCTATCAAATTAGCACGAGCTATTTTGAATGACAATCAAATTGATGAAGGCAACATAAAACTTATCGTCGGTGATATTTTGAACGTGGAAGACAGTGGAATTGAGAATGAACGTTTCACGTTAATTCATGACAAGGGAACTTATGATGCAATTAGTTTAAATCCTGACAATCATCAAGAACAGAGGAAAAAGTATATCAACAATGTGACTCGAATTCTGAAAGATACTGGATTTTTTGTCATTTCTTCGTGCAATTGGACTAAGGATGAACTGCAGGAGCACTTTAAAAATGGTAATAACCATGAATTGGAATGTTTTTGTTGAATAATTATTAATTAATGGCGATGAAATACTTACTAAATGGGCTCAAAAATCGTGATGATAAATTTTTTTTTTTAGATTTTAAGGTGGAACGGAGCTTGGAGACACCAAAAATGAGTTTCGGAGGGAAGGTTGGACAGTCGGTAACCAATATGATACTGAGAAAAAAAAAGAATAAATAAAATCAATGATTTGATGTAATATAAACAATATTAAAATGAAAAAAGTATAATTAATTAATAATACTTTTTTAAGGATAAATAAAAAAAATTTACTTTAATAAAATATCAAATACAGGAAGAATTTTTATTGATTTTATTTTTTTTTCGTGCATCAAAAGAAAGTACAAGTGAATCTTTGAATATTTCACTCTATATGATCGAATAATGTAAGATCGGTAAACCTTATAAATAAAATCAATATGTAAAGAATATTATTATTAATTGACATAATTAATTAGTTGATACAATACATAAAAATTACAATTAAATATAAATTGTATACAAAATTTATTCGATCTACTTTACTAATGAATTTTCTATTTTCTTATTTGTTATGCTGAAGTGATTAATTGAACGATGAATCCAATTGTTGTAGAATTTTAAAAAGCATTAAGAATTTTTTAGAAGATATTGAAGAATTTTTTACTCTTTTCACAGTCTTTCTCTTGTTTTTCATATTATCAACTATCCTTTACTTGATTTAATTCATGCTAGTGGCCAACAGCATTGTGAAGATTATGAGAATAATTGACGAAGAATTAAATATCGATTGCGATCCTTAATAATAAAAAAACAATTTATTAATGAAAATGTTTAAAACAATTGATGATAACAATAAAGTACCATTTTTTTACCATTGCATCTATTGTTTTCTTCATAATAGCCTTCCATACATTGACATTTTTTTCCATGAGATGTATTATTGCCGAAAATACATTCAGCTCCTTCATCACACTCTTCATGATTATCACAAGGTGCTCCTACCGCTAAAGGAATTCATTCTTCTAATTAGTATTTGTTAATGGACTTAATGAATTGATCATAAATTAATTAAATGGATTTTCATTGAAAAAACTTCTTTAATTTAATTTTTACTTGCTTATAGTTATTATCAGATTGTTTTAATAACATTCATTACTATTGACAAGTAATCGTTATACAAATAACCTTTATTTTCATTTTACAGCTAAACCGAAAAGAATAAAGTCAAAAGATTTTTTTAAAGTAAAATTAACAGCTTAAATTTTTGTTCAAAATAATAAATAAATTATTTTTTATCTTTACCGTCATTTTACTGATAAACTACCAAAAATGAGGAATAAAATCGAAGAATTTTTTTTTTATAAAATTAAAAAATTTTCAATTTCTGTCTAAAGCTTATTTTTATATCTCTCATAGATGACGATATAATTAGAAAAAACTGAAATTTTTAATCATTTTACCTCTTATCTGTAATGAGGAACTCTTTTTTGTTGTTACTAGTTATTTTTTAATTCAATTCTTGATTTAAACTAATAAATATCAGTACTCAGCAATAGTTTGAGTGAAAATAATGAAAAGATTTTGCTAGCTTATCGTTTTTTTTAAATTTTTTGATTCTGCATAAAAAATGGCTGGACTGATTTTGCTAAAAACTTAATAAGTTTTGAGTTGTGTATTTGTGCGTTGAATACAATTGATTCCACATCAATATCATTTTTTGTTTTTGAGATAATCGAGACAAAAAATAATTCCGAACGTACATACGAACATACACACACAGACGTTTATTTGAAAACTGTTGTATTCAACTATGGGGACCTTGAAATGTGAAGATATGTCAAAATTTGAGATTCACCCAATCGGACCTGTTAGTATAACTCCTCACTGGGACGTTAATAAAATCTTTATTTCACTAGAATTAAAATTAAAATAGCTCCATTAAACTTCCATAATATTTAATGCATTTCATTATAATTCCTCAAAAATGAAGCAAGTAGAAATTAAATTAAAGAAGACTATTCTAATTCATTTAAATATAAATTCATTATTAATCTATAAACTTGATTTAAAATCATTTATAAATTACCTTTATATTTATTATTACAATGGCCGTTAATTGGAGTAGAATAATCGCCACAAAGACATCGTTTTTTACCATCATGTGGATCTGATAGACATGTGGCGTTTTGTATTACAACGCAATCTTCATTAACTTTACAATCTCGTCCTTTACCCACTAGAAATCAGGGATTTTAGCATGTTCAATATGACTTCAATAATAAAATAATAATTAACTTATTAATAATAAATAATAATTACATAAATTGATGAATATAAATAATTATTAACCTAAGAAATAAATAGCAGTGTTAGTTTAAAAACAATAATAAGGATTGAAGTAAAATAAAAACTTTAACTTTACAAACTTTTAAAAAGCGGTAATTTTTTTTTACTTTTTCCACTGTGACCTTCATTATCATAATCATATGATTTTTTACTTCATGTTAACCCAAGAAAGTAAGTCAGCTTACTTGAACTATCGTTATCTTGAATTCTCACACTCACGTTGACCCAATCACGCAAAGCATAAGAAAGTAATTATGAAAATAATATTTGTACAAACAAAATAAATGTGAAATAATCATTCTCTTGACATTTTAGTTTTCAATATCATCTACTAAATTATTGAGTACCCTTTTGTGCAAATGATTGATACTTGATGATATCTACTCAATAACATCAATACCTTCAGAAAGCTTATAATTATTTACAGTTTTCTATCTTCAAAAAATCTATAATTCTTGATTTTTTCAAGTTTAGTCAATTTTAATAATATTTTTTAGATTTTAAAATAAAAAAAAGTACATTGATTTGTGCAAGTAAATTAATTACAACTGCCATGTCCTGAATGAGAAGTCTTCATGCCAGGTCTGCCACCACTAGCTCTTCCCATACTAGTTAAACGAGCTATTTCAAATGTTACTGATGGTCTACTGATGGCTGTTACCACCTCCACCATAACTAAAATAAAAATATTCTATTTCTACTCTAAACATCAACTACAAATATACAAACTACCAATCAAAAAAAAAATTACATCAACAACAATTATTTATTGCACATTACTTTAATCATTCAGTGCATTAATAAAGTATGTTTAAAAAATTCATTAAGCTTAATTCTTGCCTTCAGGCATCCCCAAGATGTTTTCGTTAAATATTTTTATTAAGTTAATTAGATTATCTAACAGACATAATTACATAATTGCAGTGATAAAACACAGTAAGCAGATGTGCATCAACTAAAACAAAAATTTAGTGAAGAAAAAAGTTATTAATTGATGAATTAAAATTGGAGATTTAAAAGAGAAATAATTGATCTACCTGGAGTTGATGGTGAGGGTGGATTTTGATTTTGTGTATTAGTTTTCCCAAAAGTCGTTAGAGCACTAGTAAAACTGATTGAATAAATAATCAAAATCACTAGAACTAAGTTTGACAATGATAGAAAATTCTTCATTGCTATTTATCTTTGTTTAAAAAAAATCAATTATTTAAATACTTTTTAATTATTTCAAACTAAAATACCACTTTTTTCAAGTTCACTAATATTTTTTTTACTAGTGATTTATTTCTTCTTTATTTCTCAAATCTTTTTTTTTTTGTCAAGTTATGTTGTTAGTTGATGCTAACTTTTTTTGAAAGATTAGATTGCGTCAAATAAGAGGTTTAAAAAGAACTGTAAAACAGAAAAGTACGACAAGTCCTTTTATGTGCTCGTATCAACCCCTCCCCCAACTTGGTAGTGTTTTTTAGCGTTGCCACTGGCGCAAACTCTAGGATAATACGAATGACTGAAAATCACAACTTTCGTACTATATTGTTCTTCTACTTGTTTGAATAATACACCAGATGAGCATTTGATAAGCTAAAGGTTAATGGGATTCACTAGAGTTTTTATTGACTACTAAAATTCTTTAACTTATGGACAAAAAAATTCCTTAAGTGGTTTTTTTATATTCAATTACCCTTTTAATAGGTATTGATTATAAAAAATATCATCATACAAAAAACAATAATAAAAAAATGAAACGATAATAACAATATGCCTTTTTTTTTTACTTTTTCACAATTTTTTCTAAATATTTATATCATATTAACTTCTTTCCTGCTCCTGCGAGTAATTAATCAATTCAATTCATCTTGAATGTCAGTTTAAACCATTCATTACATATAAATGAAATATTGAATTTCTACTGAAAATTTATATTCACTTCTTCCAGACTTTTTTTTACTATTCCAAATTATTTTCAAATTCAATGATTTGTTTTTAAGAAATAATTTTTAGAATAAGTGATAATCAAACTACAAAAACTTATAAATATAATAACAATCGTCAAGATCAAAACGGAGGATTACACAGCAAGGACTGGCGAGGTATTAAGGCTGGGCCTTACCTCGGTTTTCCTTTAATTCTATAGAGTAGGAAAATTACCAATCAATCAGTTTATTTCAAATTATATCCTCTGATTTTAGTATCAAAATAAAGTTTATTTTATACAAAATATCTCTAATGGACATTTGATTTTATTTAGTTATATTTCAATGAAATTGAGTTTGAGGAAAAATTGTCATCGAATTATCACTAGATTTTTTGTTTTATGATCATCAAGAGAAAATAATTGATTATTTATCTTTTACTCAATTTTTACTAGAAAAATTATTTTTTTCTATTTTTGCCACTTTTTATATTATATAAATATATTTATTTTACACAATGAAACATAATCATTAAAATGTATTTAGTTATTTTATTTTTCTGATACTTTTTTCTGCCATTAATAGAGCTAATGTTTTAACTTTATCCTAATTAATCAATCAGTTCAAAAGACCGAAAAAAAATATTTACTAAATATATTGAATTCTAATCAATTAATATTTCTGTGTTTTATTGAATCATTGAAATATTAAAAATAATAATAATTAAAATTTTTTTTTAAATTATCAAAATATATAATTAATTTAGCAAAAAAGTAATGAAATTTTTTACGCATAATAAGTCAAACAATGTGTCTAAGTAGCAATTACATAAATGTAGATCAAACTTAATCATGGTTAAAAAGAATAAAAAAAGGGTTAGTGCGGAAAAAAAATTCTTTCACGATAAGAATAAAGGAAATCATGATAATAAACACGCAAGTCGTTAGGGTAAGGATTAATGTATGATATACATACGGTAATGTCAGAAGAAAGTATGTAAGATATGATCGTAGTTTCATATATGATGACGTTTCAGGTGTAACGTTTTAAGACGTTAAGGAATGACGTCATTTCAAGAGGTCAAGGTGTTGATGAAAGAATCAATGTTTCCCTGCAACAAGATTTCATTAGCCTCCATGGTATACTATAACAGGTTATCACTGATATGTAAAAATATTTATATTTAGAGAAATTTCTAGTAATTAGTCACATGAAACTAGAAGTAATAGTCAAGAAAATTGCCTTTTATAATCGCTAAGGCTTACACGTGGTTCAAAAAAAATCTATTCCTTCAAGGTAAAAAACTTTGATATTTTTTTGTTTTTTTGAAGAATCTTTATGGTGTAGGTCAAACTAAAAGTGTTCAAGCCATCCTTTGCCTTCCGAAACTTGAAGGGATTTTCTTCAATGATGAAATTTTGTAAAAAAAACCAGTCCACACATTGGATTAGAACAATTTAAAAGTAAAACTTTTCAAACTTAAAGCTTCCACATTTTCTCATTTTTTCACTTTCTTGACAACTCTTGGATTGCGACGAGTAACCTTGACCTCATGTTTCACCACTAAATAACACAAAAGTAACTTCAAGTCCATCGGACACGCGATCTTACGCAGAAAAAAGCATTCTAGAGACTACGTTGCCATTTCATTGGATTTTTTATTGTTTTTTTTTTCTTTTTCCTGAAATAAAAATATTCTATTAACATAAATTTAACTGTACAATAATAAAAATTCATGATATTTTTAGACTTTATCATTAATTTATTAAGGTAACTTGCAATCACTAATAATCACTGTTTACATAAATCACTGGATAGCGTTACTTCCGGACAAACTGGCCTAACCTAAAACCTAATTCGATTGTTTACACTGACATGTGACCTTTGAAATTCAACATTTCATTAGTAGCTCTTGATCGAGTTTCTAATCTAAAAATTATTGGAATAACCTTTTGCTAAATCATTATACCAAGTTGATTCACTTACAATTGGAAGTAAAATCAATCAGTATCCAATTAAATTCAAGAACGCTATAAAAACACGATGTATTTAAATATTTAATTTATTTTTATCCATTAAAAACTATTGAATTATGATAAGCAACAACTTATTATTCATTAATAAGAATAATTGACGAAAAGCATATTTAATAAACTTAGATAAACATTATCAATGTAAAGTTTTCTCTGCACCAATTTTCTTGATTATTTTACTGCATAATATTGTTGCAAAACACTTGTAGTAATTTTTCAAACATGCAATAATGTATAAACAAATGGCGGTTTCATTTTATTGCAGGCCAATCGTTTGTACTGGACAATTTATTCCTCTTGGCAACTGTTCAAAGTATTTTCAAGCGTGCTAACACACCCCGAATGATTGCCGATAATAAATCTTAAGACTAAATCAACCTACAAAGTTGGAAACGTTTTATCCCAAAATGTATTGAAAATAAAATTCAATATTGATTTATTAATTTCAAGTTTATGACAATTTTAATTTAATTTTTTTTCAGAGATAATAAAACAATCAACAAGTAGCTGAAGCATGGGTAAGTTAATAAAAGCTTCTTGGATAAATGCCAACAGTTAATGAAGTGATAAGGGGCTTTTTTAATATCTATCAATAACCTCAGGTTTATTTTTTGTTTATTTCAATGTAAAAATAATATTTTCTGATGAATCGTTTTGGCCTTTTGTGATTAAAAAATTTCGAAAATCAATCAAGTCTAATAATAGTAAATACAATCTGACATGGTCAGATTACTGGACTTTAACTTTCGAAGAACTAGCATTTTAAAATCAATTGTGATTGATTTTCTAAGGTTTCTTGACTTCCCAGTGGAAAGTTATTTTTTATTATTAATTAGAAGAGAAGTTAGGATTATGGGTCACTTTTTGTTTTTTCTCAATTACATTTGACTGTGTTAAATTATCACTAATCGGCACTTCTCGAAGTTCCTGTTTATTGTCAAGAAGATATTTATCAATATATTTGTGAGTTAACGATGGAAGATACACCATGCCCGCATAATAAACGATTGAACCATATTAAAGACTGGACCATCATTCTACCGTTTTCTCTATAAATTTTATACCAAAAAGATAAATTCTCACTATATGAGAGACTATTGTTGTAACTTGTCTAAGTAAAATCAGTAGCTTCCTTAAATATCGCTATAAAAGTAACTTCGATAGATATAAAATAACGAAATAATCAAAAAATTGAAAATTTTGCTTTAGCAGAATTCAAACGATGTGAATTGCTAATAGCTAGTGTACAATAATTGTACAGTATACGAAGAGGATAGTTAAATGGATTTAACGATTATTATTGTTATATTTTCGATAGCTGTGATAAAGCTATAAAAAACCTTTGCTGGTTTTCTGAAAACTGAAAAGCCTTAATTCGTAAGTCTAATACACTCACTCATTTTTAACATTAATTTTTTTTTTTCATTTAGATAATTTGTAATTTATTGTAAAATACCTTAATGTTCAGGGATCATTCAAAGAGGCAAGAAGTATTGATGATAATCGACATTATTCTTGATTATTTTTTTCTTCTTTACCTTCTTATTCTCCAGCTTTAGTAAGGTGAGAATATCTAAATGGTTCTGCACTAAAATGTTATTGAAAAATTAATCTTACGATCATTTATCAACATCATCTGAAACAAGTAAAACAAAATTAATTTAATAAATTGAAGAAGTATTCGGGTTAAATTACTGTGTTTCTTACAAGCCACATTATGAGAGTTACAGATGATATTAATCTTCACACATTTTTATATTATTACTAAATAATACATTATTTGTCATTAATTATTCATAAATGAAAAATTTTCCACCTCTATTAAGCAATCATATCAAAACTTGTTAATGAAACTTTAATATATCTTCACTATATTATTATTTTATCTCACTATATCATGCAACACATGAGTAGTAAGAAATGCTTTAAAAAGCTTCAAGTTTAAAAATGATTATTTGACGACTGAAATAACAAGACCTTTCTTTACTCCATCAGAGAAAGATCCTTTATTTGATTATCTTTCACAGTATTGAAGACTTTGTTCCCAAAATTACAACAATGTTTTACTATTGACATCACTAATTTTAAGAAAGGAGTTTCGCCATAGTCATCGAAATCCTCCACTTGAATAACAAAACAAATAAGAATACAGATAATGTATACAAATAGCAGACGTGTTAGCATTATTAACGATGCCCACAGCCTAGATGCTTTGTAAATTGATATTGATTTAATAATATATATTATTCAAAGCGTGACTGCTAAGTCATGAAATGATGATCATCATTGAAAAATTGAAGTAACATTATTGTAGAAAAAAAAATGGAATCAAACTCAAAAATTGTTTGTAATAATACAATATCATAATGTTATTTTTAACTTTCATTTTATTAAATTAATTATCAAACTCTTGTATATCTATTCTGAAGATTGTTTTAAAATATTATAGATTGAATATGAAAGCTTTACAACCTATAGCGATAATCCAAATGCAGTAATGATTATTGATAAATTTATTTCATTTCACTTTAACTCACCTGAGTGTATGACTCCATTGACAAATCAATAATAAATCCAGTAGTAAATTTTATTGGCTTAAGGCTTCGCAGCATGATGATCAATAATCCCTTCTGGGTACTGTTATTCAATAAATACCAGTTAATAGTATGAATTTTTACATTGATTTCTGTGCTCTAAAAAGAAAAGAATAACACGATAAACATTAAGAAATAATTGTAACAAATTATTTAAAGATTATTGTATGAAAAAATGAACAGTATTCTGATTAAGAAACATCCTCAACTTGGAACCAATTCTTTTGAGTGTTACATATTTTTATCCATCCTCTCAAGGCAAAAAAAAAGTTTTAAGATATTTACGCCGAAAAAACTCTTGGAAGTTTTTTATTTCTAACATAGATCAACAAATTCCTAAAGTTTTATCTTGATTAGACATGTTCCATAATCGAAATTGTACCTTTAAAAACTATTAATAAAAGAACAGTCAAGCAAAAAATGTAAGTTATATTTGAATTCTACATTAGCCTTAAAAAACAGTTTCATAAATCATTTTATGATACATAGAGGAGAAGGTAGGATTACTCTCTTGAACTGAATCAGTGAAAACTACTGTGAATCAATGAATATTCACTGATTGCCAGTGTCAATCCTATCACCGAATGAATCAGCCATTTAATTGGTACTGAATATCAGTGAATATTTACAACAGATTCGCAGTAGTTTTCACTGATTCAGTTTGAAAGAATATGATATAATAACTGTAATAACTTATTGGTAATAAACAGAGATTTTGAAAAATGATGATTGGTAATAATTTAACAGAGTAAAATGTAATAGAATAAAAACAAAAAGTGACCCATAATCCTACCTTCTTCTCTACATAATTTTATATTATCTATATATGAAATATATAGGGTTGTATGTTTCTTTATACATATGACTTTTATTGACCATATATGTATATGTATGTTATACATGACCTTTTATGTTTCAAATATGAAATATATATAGCCAATTTATCATATACATGTATGATCGTATTTGAAAATTTTTCTAGGAGTATATTTCAATTTCTGTAGAGAATTTATTATTTTCTTGAGTAATTACTAAAAATTCATTGAAATAAAGAACTTAAAACGATAATAGTGTTTCATTGTAAAAAAAATATACTTTAATTTTTTTATTGTTTTTACTGTTCTTCCATTGGAAACTACTCTAGTATATATTTTTTCTTTATTAAACAACATGTTAAAAATTTAATAAACAATAAAAATTAAATTGAAAAAATAACTGTATTTATTATTATTATTATAAATTAATAAAATTAACCTTTGTAATAACTTCACTACCAGCGTGACAAAATAAAAATAACTGGTACAGCATACATAGGAGGTACATAACCCTGGGTGGTAATTCAGAGCTTCCAAAATCAAGCTGTGACATGCTGTATACTGTTACACATATAACAAACGTACTTATCAAGAACTGAGCAAAAAAAATTATCCCAAAAACTTTATTTAACGTCTTGGCAAATCTAAATGAACGAAAAAAAAATGGATTTATCAACATAAGACATAATTTAATTTATCAAAATTTTTTCATCAAACCCAACTGAAATATCTCACAATGATGTTTGACAAAGTTAGCAAAAAAGTAAGCTTCTTTTTTATTTATGTCTGCTGAGAGTTTGACATTGGATTGTACTCTTTTTAGTATGGTACTAAGCCGATACTTGAATATACTGAGTTGGGCACAAACTTGAAGTATCAAACTTGCTACCAAAGTATCGTAGGCAGTATTTATGGTAGCACCAAGACATGAACCAATACTTTGAAAAGAATAAATAGTCCAGAATGTGATAGGATTTGATAAATTCAATGGAACCCAGGCTTTAAATGGTAAAATATACTTCAAGCCATTTTTGAAAAATGTTATTTGCATCAGTGTTGCTGTTATTACAACAATGCTGAAGTTTATTATCGTTTTCGTGCTGCAACAAAATAAAAATATTTTAAAAGATTATTTAGACTAATGATTATTACTTAAATTACCTTGATACACGGGAAGAATTTTTTCACTAACTGTACAAGTGAATTTTGAGTTATTGTAAGTAGAGTAATATACCGTCAGTAGAAAAAAAACAGTCAGAAATTGATAAAATATTTATTCTGGATACAACATTTATTTTCGCTCTATGTTAGTATAATCATTACTATTCAGTGCGCATATTGATACGAGAAGGTATTGCAATATGAGTTTATCATCGATAAAAATTATTCTTTAACAAGCCAATATTTTGATACATTCAAACAAAGATTTTAGTCATGATAAGTCAATTTGTGATTCACTGCAAGTGCATTTTTAGTTGAGTCTTAGAAGACGTTTCATTTGTTGTAAGTATAAGTTTTTTATTATATTACGTTGATATTCGAATTGCAATTAATCAATATTCTATCTAACAAGAGTAGAAAAATCACCAACAATAAACGCAAAAAAATCTCAAATTCAGCAACTACCTCTACTTCACAATTGTACTTTATATAACGAGGAATTGAGCATGTCAATCGGGAAGAGGGTTTTTCATTCAAATTTAGCTTCCATGAAATCATTTTGTATTTATTAACAATTATTAAAAAGTTTCTCTCAATCAACAGTCAAGATTTTTCTGAACTATAGTATTGTTTCACTCACAGTCATTCAAAATTAACTTTTCAATAGGAGGCTTTTGAAAGGCTTCCTACTTTTGAATTTCGAATCGTGGGCTTGTCACTTTTCGCATTTACAGTTAGTGATGAAATTTTCACCATGTATAAATTGACATATTAGAGATCAGAAAGAACCTTATTTGAAAGTTTAGTTAAATTGTCGTCCTCAATAGCTCCTTGAAGATGAATCAAAATTTAGAAAGGTTATTTTAGATCTCAAAATCTAAAATAAATTTCGAATTGCTCACCTGATAGATTTATCAAATTCCTGTAGTATTAACTCTTCATTTTGGTCTTGAGGTAAGTAAGAAAAACTTGAAAGCTTTGTTATTAATTTAACTATTTTATAACGTTGATTCAAAATATTTGTAGCTTTTATTGAGCATCCTAGCATGCTGAGAAAAACTAATAAATCGTTGATAAAGTTCTCCAAATTTTCTTGTATTCGAAATAGTTCAATGATGTCAGATAGTACGTGAATATACAAATATGTTATTGTTACTAAAGAATAAATTTGATAAAATTTAACAGACCATTTTGTCTGCCAGTGTATCGGTTGCCATAAACCAATCAATTGGAGAATAGTAAAGCCAATAGGTCGTAACATTCTTCGTACTCTTGTATTTCTATCTTTACTCGTTGACGTCTAGAAATGAAATGACTTGGTGTCTTTATGTCTTGTGTGATGATGAATAAATTATTAGATACTTCGCAGTCAATTTTTTTTTCCATGAGAGATACATTTTTTTTTCAATTGTTGTCACGGAAGGGTTCCATCGTTAATACATACTTTTGGATTGTACTTCACTTAAATAGTAGTCTATCATTTCCATTTTATATTAGAAAATTATAGGCTATACGTGTTCTCTTTCCATTTGTCTCTTTGAAAAAAAAATATTTCTTTTCCTTGATATTTTTTTTCTCATTCTTTTTCCTGGTTATATTCCATTCAATATGAATTAGAGATAGGGAGTAATATGAGCCAAGTGGTTAATATGAGTATTTGACGGTGAATAAATTTGTATTGTAAAATAATATTGTAACTGTCGATGGTGGAGTTTAATTCTAAGGTAGTTAGAGGTATGGTAAATATTTTTTTTATCAATAATAGCTAAATTTTGATATTTTTTAATGCTTAAAAAAATATTGAATCACGAATTATTATAAAACTTTTGCTGATAAAACTTTTGTAAATAGAAAAAAGTAATAAAATGAAGAAGCAATGAAGGTGAATTTAATGTGTCTATAAAGGGTGTTAATATGACCGTCAAAGTGATAATTTAATATTAATTATTCCAGACTATTTAAGACAATTTTATCTATTAATGTCCAAAGTTCACAAAATGTATATATCTCCGAAAAAAAATTTTCATTAACGATGCTTTATGAAAAATTGGCCGTAACTTGGGTCATGATTGTGCAAGATAGTAAACAGAACTCATGAAAAATTTTTCTCGAGGTGTTGAAAGTAAAATTTAGAAAGAGATGTATATTTTAGAATAAAAGAATCATTTAATGATGTATTATCAATTTTTTCAGGATTAATTAAATACTTTTTGATTTTTTATTATACTAAACATTAGATGCCAGTAAATAATAAATTTCCGTTTAAACATTCCAAGGTTGTCTAGACACTTGTAAGGTTGAAGAAACTTTACAAGATGTTCGTTAATGAACGACCGATTCGCCACAATAAATTACTTCCGGCTCCAAATTTATTGCTAAAGCTTGATTTTACTGCAGGTGTCTTCATTGTTAGAGTAAATTGATTACATAAAAGACCTTAAAATAAAATAATTTCATTTGCACATTTTTGAATTTAATGTCAAAAAATAAAATAACATATCAATATTTACTTTCATTGATTAATGATTTTTTATCAATGCATTCCAGTATTTCCAGTATGATCTTCATGACTATTTTGAGGATGATAAGTAAGAAAGTAGACAAAGCACCAAATGATAAATAAAAATATTGAAAGAAACCACATTTTACTGTTGAATGAATTCCATCCAAAAATTATTTTATTTAAAGTCATATTACATGAATTATCAAACGTATTTAAATCACGTCGACAACAAATATTGTCAGTACTTCGTTCATTCATTATTAACTTAAATGAATAAAATGATTTTCCAACCACGAGTTTTTATCGTTATGATAAAATTGTGAATTTTGACCGATAATTTGATAAGAAAGTTAGACTTTTATCTGTTTAAATAAGCATCATGAGCAATAATTTAAGATAAAAATACATCTAAAGACCATGGCTGCAACCATTATTTTATCAACATCATCCTCAAGCTGATCAATTTCACTACAGTCATCAAATATAGTGATGAAATATGAAAATAAAAAATCCATATGAAACACATTTTATTCAGTTAAGTACAACATTCAGAGTCTTCACTCTTGTATTTATCCCAGGCAAAGAGCCAATATCCTAGACCGATTCCAATAATCACGGCAATTGCCAACCAAGCATTAAATGTCATAAATATAAACATTAAAAAGTATCCCATAACAAACTGTATTATATGCAGAATTGTTTGAAGAACGTGGACACCAGAAATTAAGGAATTTCTGCAATAAAATAATTAATTCAATTCATTTTTCCTCTCTTGAAACCAACTCAGTCGACAAGTAAGTGGTATCATTAACTAAGAAGAAACGTTATCGACTGAGTAACAATCTTGCCAATTGGCCGAAAATATTACCAACTGAATTGAGTAGCAGAGAAAGCTTTTTAATTCATAATAAACTTACGTTTTATTGGTTAACTTACCGTTGTGACTCTTTAAATCGGCTGTGATGGCCCAACGTCGTTAATTTGAAGTATACATTCTCCCTTAAATAATAGAAAATAATATTTTCAGCAATTGCTTATTGGAGAAAATGATGGAAAAAAGCTAAATAAAAATTACCTGTAATTTTTTAATCCTTCGTAAATAATTCCAAATAGAACAATTCCAATAGCAGAGCCGAAAATTCCTTGCCAATCACTTGTTTTCCATCCATAGAACAGAATAGCGTTCTCTTTGACACCGAAATGAAAATACATCTAAACGAATAGTATGTCAATTTTAAGTGTGTATTTTTATGGTGAAATTTAATTAACTTACTTCCATAATATTTAATTATCTGTCGCGAATGTCAACACGGTTAATAATAAATTGGTTGATGATAGAAATAATTTTTTGTAAAGAATGAAGTCAATTTTCTTATCATAGTCTAGATTGATAACGAGTTTTGCTCATCAGTGGCCAATCTGTAAACTTAAACACAGGAAGCTACTGATAAGAATTTCTTATTATATATTTCATACTACGTTGAACAAAAAATATTGATAAAATAGTTATTGGCAACTCAAATAAGTTTATTGATAGAAATAATATATAATCCTTTTTTCTAAGTTTTTGTTGAAGTAATAAAAATGAAAAGATGGTATAGGTTATTGATTAAAGTTGAATTTGCCTATGAATTGATAAATACGAAGATAAAAAAATCATCGATTAATACATAAACTAGTTAAGTTTAAAACTAGAATAAAAAAAAACACATTCGCTTTAGTGGAGTCTGCGTAATCTTTGAAGCACAACCTGTGGCTATTATTCTGACCGTTGCGCCTCCCAGTGTCCGGAAGTTCATCTATACTCAATCCACAATGTCTCAGTGCCATTTTCACCGCTCGAGCGTTATAATCGCTCGTAAATTCATCGAAAAACGTTTTAAAATTATTCAAAATCAATGATATTAGTGATAATAAATAGTAACAACGATAAATAAATATTTTCCGGACATTATTAAATTTCAAAATCAACAACAACATCAGAAATTGGTGAGTAAATTGTTAAAAATTTATTCAAAATCATTTAACCGCGCGATCTTTTAATTAAAATCGGTATTCAAAAAAATTGATATAAATTTTGAGATGATTTTGGATATTTTGTTAATTTAATTTTTATCAAGTTTCTAATCATAGATCATTGTACGTTCGATTTTCTCCGAGCGGCATCGCGTTTCCATGGAAATTATAGCATCCCCCATTACTTTACTACCCTCCACACGTTCTCTCACTTTCTCATTCACTTCCATCAGCTTTATTCCAATCCTAATTCTTCAATCCTATTATTTATGTGTTACTAACACTAACAATAAATAAAGAATAATTTCTATAAATTTAGCCAATGTATTTTTAAACAACTTAGCAATAATTAAAAATAACAATTGATCTTTTCATGCGAAAAAATAAATGTTAAAAATACTTCTTTAAGGCTAATTTATAAATAGATTGTTGCGTTCTTTACTTTTAAATGATTCTTAAAATTGGCTAAATTCAATGTATCGATTATTTCGTCAATCGATTTGACATTAATTTATTTAAAGAAAGAAAACAATTGAAAAATATTAATATTTTTTCTTTGTTTCAGGCAGTTAAATATATTTTATAAAAATTCTACAAAAAAAAAAATAATGAAAATTGATGTTAAGTATAAAGCGAAAGTATAAAAACTTCCTCGAAGAAGTTTTCGAAGAATTTAAATTGACACAGTCTGTGAGTCTTAACGTAGTCAAACATGCCGGCTCACTCAAATCGTACAAGTAGTGAAGCAATTCGTCTGGAACCACTCGGCAGAACATCAAGTTCTCGTAGTCCTGGACAAAATGGCACAGCAAATACAGAAATTCCAGAAATTTCAAGTAAGAGACATTGATTACATCTAAAGAAGTTGATTATAAAAAATTTTTTTTTCTTCATTCATTATTAAATTATTTATTAGAGTATTTTGTGAACGATTTCCTCAAAAAAGCTGTCTTTTATTATTTAAATATTGTTTTCGAAATACCCTGAGGTCACAAGTTCAAGAGTTCACCCACTCCTGAGAGAAAAAAACTTCAGGACAACACCCCTAAATCAATTGATTATCTTGTTTTGGCTTTACTTTATAGTTTTATCTCTATATTATTTTTTCCCTCGGTTAATTACCAACACACATTGTGAAATTATATTTAATTATTAAAATCAATAATTAAAAAATTTGATTACAAGTTTTTTGTCGATAATTATGGACAACAATCGATAAAACAGTACGTTTATCATAAAGGTCGATAACATAGTATCTTATTGTATACAATTTTTCAAATGTCGATGATGTAGATCTATCTAAAGTCGGTAATATCGAGTATGATTGTATTAAATGACAACCAAGAGTACACTGTTTTAGAATGTGTTGTGTGAATAAAACTACCCTTTACTATAAAATACTTGTATAAGGGTAGAAATCCGGCGGCCATTTTTGTCCAACTATTCACTGACTATATTTACTTAATTCATAAATGTGAATTGATGGGGAAGATCAGTATACACGAAAGCCTGCAGTGAATCGAGTTATTGTAACAGAAAAAAAGTAAATGAAATTTAATTTTTTGCTTGGATGAAATAGAGAATGAAAGAAAGTGTTAAAAAGGATTATTTCGTTATAAAATGCAAAATTCGATAGCATATGTGTGTTTAATAAGATTTTAAGAGGTTGGCGTTAAATAAAAATTAGAGCAATTGATACGAAATCATTAGTGTGCAGAGTGAGAGTTGATAAATTGCAATTAAAGAATCATCGGTAAGGTTATTCTGGCTGAACAGAGAGAACCGTTAATTAAAGTCGCGTATGCGTCTGGTGAGCAAGTAAAAGGTTTTGTTTATCGAAGACCGTTGCCTAATTTATTCACTATGAGTGAACAGGATGTTGATGATGCAGCTTTTCTTACAGGTAAGATACTCAATATAAAAATTGCGAAGTAATTAAAAGAATTTTTTATTTAAATTAATTATCAATAATATTTTTATATAATGGTATTAAAAAAAAATTTACTCTCTAAATATAGGCTTGTGGGTACTCAAATGAAAGCTCATATCCTAAACTTTAAGAATATTCTATTAAATGGGCTCAAAAATAGGGTCAGTGTTTCATTTTATAATTAATGAGTATTTTTCTATGGAGTTCAAAGATATCAGGTGTGAGATAATGTTTTTTTAAATGTATCGTGTAGATTGTGATAAAAAAAATTTATATTCGTTAATCATAACAATAAAAAAAAATGATGACATAAAATGCATGAGTTGGTTAAAATTGCGGTCAAGAATAACAGCAAAAAATAATGAGGTCAAGTACCGAGCGTGCGAGTATAGAGTTATAGAAGTAACAATTGACCAAAAGAACTTTTAGAAACTACATCGCGAGTCTCTAAATAGTAAAAAATAATCGAATAACTGAGTGTCCTTGTAACAGAAACACATAAGATCGATCTACATTACCGACGTCATAAAAACGCATTTTAATGTCACAATGATTGTCTAAAAATAGGTAATGAAATCGTACAAGTATACATGTATACACTTTTTCGTGACATCTTTTATCTTGTCATTCATGGACTTTCATTGTTGTTTTCATCGAGCTTTCCATTGTTATAGGAGACAGCAATACCGGCTTACACAAACGAAGCATTTATGAACATAATGGGGTTGCTGTTTGTTCACCAAAACGTGCATTATGCATTGCTACACTTGTTTTTTCTATTCTCTTGGTCATATCACTTATCATTGCATTTGCGGGACCACAAAATTGTAAGTAGATCTCATTGGGGAAAAATAGGGAATTTTTTTTTTGTCTTTCTTCTAATATTTAAGAAGTTTTAAATTTTTTAGACTGCCCTTGTGCTGGTGAAAGACCAGAAAATATTGAAATTGATGATGATGATGCGAGTTCTGATCCTCTAGCAACTAATGGAGAGGTAAATTAATTGATAATCAATTTTACATTAGTTTGAATTTTTCATTTAGTAACTATCTGGGAATTTTTTTTATTTCAATTTTTTAAAAATTTGACGAAAAAATTTACTTTGATCTAATTTTTTTTACGGAATTTTTTTCCAATTTTTCGTTAAAGTTTACTTTCTCTTATGCTCTTCAAATAATAATTATTGCAGATTTTCCCGTGGGATAACGTTAGGTTACCATCATTTGCACATCCTACAAGATATAACATCACTATACACCCTAATCTTACGACCCTAGAGGTCAAAGGTACAATAAAATTCTAATCCTTAAGCCATTTTTAATATCAATAATTAATCAAGATACTTTTCTTACTCTAGGACAAGTAACTATAGAGTTCTATGTCGACAAAGAAACAAATTTTATCGTCTTCCACAGTAAAAATTTGACAATAACAGAGAAAGTAAGCAAGAAAAACAAATTTTTAGTAAATAAAAAAAAACTTGAAAACAATTAATAATGCCTCCTTTTCCAGATGGTTCAAAACCGTAAGGGACATGATATGAAAATAGCGAGATTATTAGAATATCCAAAGCATCAACAATTATATTTAGAGCTTGAAGAGAGTAAATTTCGCAAGAGAGGAAATTATTCAGTCCATTTGAGATTCGTTTCTCAACTTACTAGTGAATTAGAAGGCTTTTATCTCAGTACCTATACCACTGCTGATGGTGAAAAGAGGTATATTAACACACAAAAAATCAATACTTTACATTTACAAAAAAAAACAAATAATTCATTTATTACAGATATTTAGCAACGACACATTTTGAGCCTACTTATGCTCGTTCAGCTTTTCCCTGTTTCGATGAACCCCAATTTAAAGCAAAATTTCGTGTCTCAATATTTAGAGATCGATTTCATATAGCTCTATGTAACATGCCAATAATGAATACAGAGGATGCAGGCTTTTATATGGGTCGAGGACTGGTGAGTTTAAAGTAACTTCTACCAGAAGAAAAAATTCTAGCTATTTTTTTTGAAGAAAAATAAATTAAAAATTAGTCAAACTTGAGGTAATGGTCTAAGCCAACCTAACATAGTCGAATGAAACACATTTTCAGCTCCGAGATGACTTCCAGGAGTCGGTGGAGATGTCAACCTACTTGGTAGCATTTGTGGTTTGTAACTTTAAACGTATTTCACAACTAACAAGTCGGAATATTTCTGTAAGTGTCTATGCATCAGAGTCAATGCTTTCACAAGCACAGTATGCTCTTGATACAGCAGTAAAAACTATGGATTATTACGAATCATTCTTCGGCATTCATTATCCCCTTCCAAAGCAAGGTATTCATTAAATTGATTCTTCCTGGTTCAAGGTGATCAAAATATTAAAATAAATAAAAAAATTTTTTTAATATGCTTTAGATCTCATTGCTATACCTGATTTTGCCGCTGGTGCAATGGAGAACTGGGGTTTAATTACGTACAGAGAAGCTTCAATACTTTACGACCCCAAAGAAACATCAACAGTAGCTCACGAATGGGTAGCAATAGTAATAGCTCATGAATTAGCACATCAGTGGTTTGGTAATTTAGTAACCATGAAATGGTGGAATGATTTATGGCTGAATGAAGGAGCAGCAAGTTTTATTGAATACAAAGGAGTTAATCATGTATCTCCCGAGTGGAATATGATGGATCAATTCGTACTAGACAAAACGCAATCAGGACTAGTCTTAGATGCACTCACGACATCTCATCCAATCAGTGTTCCTGTTAAAGACCCATCAGAAATCGAGGCTATTTTTGATACAATAAGTTACAATAAAGGAGCTTCAATTCTCAATATGTTAGAGGGTTTCCTGGGTGAAGAAGTCTTTAAAAAAGGCCTTAATGAGTATTTGAAAACTCGAGCATATGGTAATGCTGATACTAATGATTTATGGTCAGTGTTCACGAAGCATTCGAATAAGACATTTGATGTCAAAGCTATCATGGATACTTGGATCCATCAAACTGGATTTCCATTGATAACTATCAAGAGAGATGGGAAAGTTATAACAGCTTCCCAGAAAAGGTTTCTGCTGACACCACCGGATAATGAAACAGAAGCTAATCAAAAATCACAGTTTAATTACAAGTGGTACGTTCCACTTAGTTACTTCACTGATAAGGATCCAAGCACTGTTTACAATGTATGGATGAATATGTCAGATGGTGAGAAAATATTCTATACAATTTTTAATAATTATAGATGTTTTGTTTTTTTTGTTTTATCTAGTAGGCTATCTATTGTTTTAAGTACTACCATTATCAACAAAATGCACTCTAATCAAGAGATTTTATATTAAATCATGTTTTCAGTGACTTTCGAAATCCCTGAAGAAGTAAACTACATCAAATGCAACGTAAATCAATCAGGATTCTACAGAGTAGCTTATCCTGAAGACATGTGGAATTCTATCATTGATACTCTGATGACTAATCACCATGTGCTTACACCAATTGATCGGGCTAGTTTGATAGATGATGCTTTTACACTCTCAGATGCTGGAGAAATAAATGCAACTATCCCTTTGAGACTGTCGTTATATTTACTTAAAGAACGAGATTATATCCCTTGGGCTACAGCACTGAGTTACTTACACTCGTGGAAAGAAAAATTAGGGGAAAGCGCTGGATATAAACGGTATATTATTTTTTTGAAGAAGCTTCTAGGTCCAGTTACTGAATATGTTGGATGGAATGATGAAGGATCACATCTGACAAAGTTAGTATATTTTTTAATTGGAGGTCAGAAGTAAAGTAAAGTAAACAGACGCAAATGATAACAATATAAAAAAGTAGGAGAATGTGGCCATCCTAACATTCAAATCTATAAGTATTTATTCTGAATTATTTTTTTTCTTGATGCATATACTGTATTAAAGAGTTGGAGTTACAATAACGGAGTGATTGTATTACCCAACGCTGTATATTGATAAATTAATTACACGGAAAAAATTTATAAACGTAGAAATAATATTGTACCCCTTAAATTAACAATCTTATTTTTAACATCCATAGATTTCTACTATAATATTATTACACTTGCTCATATAATTAAGATAGTTTTGGCTTTTATCTATTCCAGCGATAATTTGAATTGTAACAATATTTTTTATTCAGTGTATATAATTTTATGACTTAACTGTTATTGAATTTGATACGTCTGACCGATCTAAAAATAGTTAAATATAATAAACTCTTAATGTCTTTCAGATTATTAAGGATAGCTGTTCTTCAAGCAGCAGTGGAACTAAAACTAGAATCAGTTTTAAAGCCAGCCAAGAATTTATTCGAAGAATGGATGCATCGTCAGAAAAAAATAACACCCAATTTACGTGACGTTGTTTATATAGCAGGTGTAAGATTTGGTGGTGAAGAAGAATGGAATTATTGTTGGAAATTATATCAGAAAACCCAGGTACCAAGTGAAAAACGTATTATGCTGCAAGCTCTAGGATCAGCATCTGATCCATGGCTACTACAGCGGTACTTATTGAAGACATTAGATCGTGAGAATATTAAATCACAAGATATTGAAGCGGTTATCTCGTCAGTGGCGAGAAATCCAGATGGTCATTTTTTGGCATGGCGCCATTTAAAAGCATATTGGCCCATGTTTCATTCACTTTTTGGGAATGGATCTCTCACGATGAGTGGATTATTCTCGACGGTGATATCTGAATTTTTTACAGAGTATGATTATCAAGAAGTAAGTCGTCTAGCTTTCTAAAGTTGTTTTTTTAATCTATTGAACTTTTTGAAAGCTTTCGTTTTAATGCAAATAAATACACTGAGATAAAAATTTTGTTAAATGAAAGAATTTTTTATTTAATCAATAAAGGGAACTTGGAGTATTCTCAAGATAATATTTTATTCGATCGACGGGTTTAAAAACAAATAATATTTTATTCATTTCATTAAATAAAAGAATTTTAATAAAATATTCATATTTCCGAAAAAATATTTCATTGCGATTATATTTAATTTCGATGTTAATGATCGAACGAAATATTGTTTGCATAGAATAAATTGTTTTTTTAGTAAATAAAGTGATACTTGGATATCAAGTTTTATTGAATGATTTCGGTTTCAGGTAACCAAGTTTTTCAGCGATATTGATGTTGGCAGTGGACAAAGAGCACTAGAACAAAGTCTGGAAACTATCAGATTCAACATCAGATGGGTACAAGAGAATGCAGACACAATTGACGAATGGTTATTAGATTATGTAAAGGATAATCTTGGATAAGTACATTTCCTTTTTTTAATTAAAGAAAGGTAGACAATATAATTTCATTGTATTCAAAGAAACAAGTAAACCATTAATCATTCTTATACATCATTAGTATCAGAATTGATGTGATAATCTCATCAAATAAAATCATTTCTCAATAATCATATCAAAATTAGTAGGGCAAAATATATATATATATATATATATATATATATATATATATCTATATATCTATATATATACATATATTGATAAGAGTAATGATCAATAATAATGATAAAAAAATCATTCGTTCTTCCTCATTAAATGGTATTATTTATATTTGTAGTCAAATAAGGATCAGTTTATTTATCAATTGATATTGTGTCATTTTATTACGTGATAAAAAATGATAAAATTCAATAAAAAAAAGAAAAATATATTAATATTAATATGGAATAAATGTATAAAAATATATTAATAAATAAGAGAATGAAAGGTAGGAAAATATTGACATAAATGTTGTGTGCCATGTGTATACTATAATGCCGTATTTTTGACGCTGGAAACGTCCTTAAACAATTAAGATTTTTTTTTCAAGCAATCGATATAAATAATATATATTATTATTATTATTATTATTATTATTATTATTATTATTATTATTATTATTACTATAGTCGTAATAAAGGAAGAAAAATATTTTAATAAAAGAAATGATCGAGGATATGTAAATTAATGTAAGTTTTGCAGGCCTAGAGCTATAAAAGTGAATTAATGAAATTTTTAATAAGTAATTGATGGATGAAAATAGTAGTGATTGTGCATAAATGAAACTCTAATTTAATTTTAGTAAACAAGATTTTTATGAAATTTCTTGGAATGATTAAAAAAAAAGTAACTGAAGGGCTAAATAGTAAACTATGTTTAACAAAAGAAAACCATATGAGACAGTATGATAAACAATTTGATGTATTCAGGTGTTCGTACAAACCAAAATTGACTAGTTATTTGAAATTTGGATAATTGTATTATATGTGAAATAAATATTTTTTGTATTCCAAGTGCGTCTAAAATGGCTAAAAAAAATTTTTATTACAAATACATTCATAAAACAGTTTTAAAGATACTAAACAGAAAGAAAAAAAGGTGAAAAAAATAGTTTGTTCAATCGTTTTAGATTTTCGAACACTTAGGAATAAACACCACAATATTTGAAAATTTTGTATTATTATACATTGGGTCAATAATAATTAATAAAATTAATTTAGAAAAAAAATATTCAATTATTTGAAAAAAAATTTTGTTGTAACAAATTGTTCGATTAACCGTTTAAAAAAATTTGAGCACTAAAATTAGAAAGAGTATTTATGCACAAATTCCGAATAAAATGACTTATATGTCATTCAAAAGCGATTTTTCATAAATTTTACAATTTTCTTAACTCGGTTAATGTTAAAAAGTGATTCATACTCTTATAAAAATTAAATCTAATCAATTCAACTACTCATCCACTTAGCTATTGAGTTAATATATAAAAAAGTAAAGAAAAAAACAGAAAGTATTTTTTCAAAGGAAAAATGTTACATGACAAAAAATAAGACTTTTATGTTTATTGATATGATACTATGGATAATCATTGATAACTACCAACTATCTATCTATGACATACATGTATATACATATATATTTATGTATAACTAAAGGTCGACAGAAGTTTATTTTTTGAACACCGTCCGTAAAGTTACCAAAGGCCACGTAATACGAAATACTTGAGAAAATGAACGTTTTTTTTTATAAATATTATTTTTTAATAATGAATAGTCGTGATGGAAGAAAAAACAAATAATTATAAAATAAATTATTGTTGTGAACAATAATCATAAAATAGTATTATTCACTAAAATTTTTTTTTCAACTTATACATATTTTTTATGTAGATTTTTATACATTTTGTCTATTCAATAAGTAATAAAAAAAATTATATTAAAAATAATTATGAAATTTAATTATTTATTTATCACCAACAAAAATGCCAAATCTCTTGAGTTCTAATTTACTTTAATTTTATTTCAGGACAGTTGTTTCAAAACATGTTCATTATTATTTCTTTACATAAAATATGATTTTTTTAAAAATAAACTTCGGAAAATACTTTAAATAAGAAAATAAAATATAATAAAAAAAAACAGTAGAATAGTGAAAAAAGCAACAATAGATTCGTGTATTGAAAAACTTATCATCCAAATTGAAGCCTTCAACGTATCAATGCATGATGCATATTTTGATTAATATTAAACAATTGTTGTTGTATACAACTACACGTGACTTCTTATTACTTTGTGATGTTCATAACAATTAGAATTTATATAAACAACAATTATTTAGAATTGGAAACATAGAAAAAAAACGATTTTTCAAATTTTCTATATTGAGAAAAGGGTAATGTAAAAATTATCCTGCCATGCACAGTAATCGTGGTACGCTATAATATTCACTTAATCCTTCTTTCCACGTAAATAATTGGAGTCGGATAGCATACACTGATAGAAGTATTTATCTATTTATTAGCTTCTAATAAATATGTTATTTGAAAGAGAAATCGAATGAACATTTGTTAACAGTTAAGAAATTATTTATTAGAGTAGATTGATTTGGCTTAATGAATGATTTCTTAGCTGCAAACAAATATTTATTTCTCATATAAATACTATGATGATTGGGCTCGATGGTAATTACCTTAAGGTAGAATGACGGTAAAGCATAATCAAATGTTAGGTTTCGTTATGAAATAACTTTTATTTATTGAAAGTTTTTAAATAAAAAATAACGGTTTCGTAATGATTACAATTAATATTTTCTTTTAAACAATAGCTCGACAAGCATGCAATTGCAATTACATAATAACCATTTATTTTCGTGTGAATGTTTAATGGTTTTAATGGTCATTTAGTCCCAGCAAATAAATTCTTCTATCAGTGTATACACTATAGTTAGAAGACGGTGCCTAAACAAAAATCTAGTGATATAACCATTCCTATTATGTACCCGACAACAATGTTTGGGAATATCTCTATGAACATTTCGCTATATTTGTTGAACATTCTGCGTAAATGATCTAAAATTCGGATTTGTGAAGTTGTACGTTGTTACGCCGCGACTACCTCACATCATTTTTGTATTGGAATTATGCTGATGACGGTGATGTCCTTACGCCTGTGTCTCGAGACTCAGAGCAGCTATTTCAATTCTTTTTCTCAAGCGCAGTAACACCTTCACGATGCACTATTTTTATATTTGATAATTCATTCATATTTTTTTTAGTCAGTAGAAAGGAAGCCTTGATCGAAGTAGAAACAAAAACTATTAGAATCAGTAGAAGGATGAGAAATAGAATATAATCAATAAGAGAATAGTATTCAATTATAAATAGAAATAATTGTTCACCTATAATATTAGTGTAAACCAGTTAAGTGTAACTAAGTTTAAGTGAATTAATAAATTTGTAATCTCTTAAAATAAAATCTGTGTTTACAAATTAATTAAAATCCTGAAAACTATCCACGGCATAACAAAATTGGTGGCAGCGGTAGCATCTCAAATCAGTTGAAATCGGAATACGTGAAATTATTAAAGGATAAAATGACAATAATAACACTCCTGTAAGTAAAATTATTGTACATACTTTAATACATATGACAGAAAACGCATTCTCGGAATATAGAGAAAATCAAAATAACGATCATTTTGATACGGACGACTTCAACGAGTCTACAGAAGATTTAAACGAATTTCGAGAAATTCAAATAACTGAAAACGCGATGGAAGCTCGGATGACGGAACTTATAAATGCAGTACAATCATTGCAAAGTCAATTAATTACACTAAACACGAAAGTCGAAAGTATAAACACGCCGTCTAATAATTATACATCAGACCACGTCACAGATGATCGTGCATCTACAACGCACGATAGCGTCACGACGTCAACTGATATAAAAAATTCAAAACAACAACTCGAATTAATTACAGAATTTGAAGGTAACAACATAGCAGTTGAAACTTTTATTTTTGAAATAAAATCAATTGTCGATGATCTACTGGAAGATCAAAAAAATACATTTATTCGATTGGTAATTGCAAAAAAGATTATTAAGAATGCACGAAAAGCCATCGACGGACACGATATTAGATCTTCAGACGATTTATATTAAGTTTTACGCAATAACTTCGGTGAATGTAAATCATACGATATCGCTTTTCTCGAGAGAAACCAATGTCAACAAGGATTAGACAAAATATCACTCTATAACAAACGATTTACTGAATGTCATCTTAATATTAAAAGGGCAATAAATAATAATGTCGATTACGAAAAAAAAGATCGCGCTGTTATTTTAGCAGATGACGAAAAACAGGGGCTGATACAATACATTCGTGGTCTGAAACCAAGTATCAGATTATTAAAAAAAAGATTTCCTTGTCATGGATGTGGCAGTTTGGAACACTGTGTCCGCGATTGCCCACAGAAATCTTCGAACCCAAATATTCCGTCACGCCGACAACCAACCGTGCCCAACCCCATCAAATATACCGAATGTCAAGAAACTCAAGGACTCCAGGAGCAACCTTCATGCTCAGAGTCGAGAATAAGTTCGGACAGCGATATCATTCATTCATCAAATCAAAATGTACTGTAGGACTACCAGTTAGGAAGACGTGGGCACAGCTTACAGGCATCAATTTTACGCCTGTAAATTGTACACATGAATGCAAAATTACAATACATAACGTCGATCATATTTTTCTCGTAGTTCCGAACGATTTTCCCTTGGATGAAGATGGGATTGCTGGTCGTCCATTCCTCGAAAAAGAAGATGCTACAATTCTTGCAAAAAGAAGGGCAATTATTTTCAATAGGAAAATACCCGAACTGAAAATGTTAAAAATCGAAACCGAGAAATCAAGTAATTATTCAATTGAAAAAAGCGAACTTTTGAGGGAAAAAACACGTCTTAACCACATTTTAGATGAGAAGGCTAAGGAAGCTATATGGGACATAATAGACCCATATCAGGATGTATACGACCTACCAGAGGACTTCTTACAAGGCACTGATTTAGGGGACCACCCTCTCCAAATGATAGATGAAATTTCGGTCTTTGTAAAACAATATCGATATCCACCTGGACAA